GAAAATTCACCACACTGGGAAGGGTGAAGACAACTGGGTCGCCCGGCCCTGGCCACGAGGTGTCCCTTATTTATTTTTCAGGGAGTTGGCAACCCTAATGAGAGAGAGGTGTTCCAGCTAACTGAATGTCAGTTCATTGCCCCCGCTTTAATTCTGTTTTGGCTCTCATATCTGTCACCGTCAGTCAACTGGACTCTTCTCAGTGTTATAATTTAAACCGCATTTTATTAATTTATTTATTTGTAAATAAATTTGTAAATTTATCTGTAAATACGAAGACCTTGAGCCAGGACCGTGTCATTTAATTCAGCTCCTGAGTCTTGCTAGACCAGTTTCTGAGTGTGGTGCAGTTTACCCTCCTCTTCACTAGGGGGCTCTACAAGACGTATATTTATTATGAGTTGATCTGTAAAAAAACACCTTATTCATCCCAGGTTTCACTCCGCTTCATTGAGTAAAGTCTAAAGACTTTATAAATGGATAAATAAATTGCGTGTATTTATAATTAGCGTGTATGTAGTGGAAGTATTTGTGATATTTGTGTTGGTCTTTCTATTGGATCAAAGCGTGTCACGTGTCCAGGAAGCTGCAATAACTTTTGCGTTATAAATGCTCGCAAGTTAAATTTACCGCAACACAAACCCAGCGATATAAGATGTGTGAGGGAACATAGTTGCTCTTGTTTGTGTGATAATTCAGTACAAAATATCAGCAGTTCAGCTTCCAAACCATGAGTCAGAGAGACGGCGCTGGGAACCAGGCCGTTTCCTCCGAGCCGAATGCGACATCGCTTCTCGGCCTTTTGGCTAAGATCAAGTGTAGTATCTGTTCTTATCAGTTTAATATCTGATACGTCCCCTACCCGGGGACCATATATTAAATTGATTTTTGGAACAGGGAGATGGAATAGGGGCTTGCTCCGTCCACTCCACGCATCGACTTGGTATTGCAGTACTTCCAAGAACGGTGCACCCACCCCTTATTATGTTTAAAGTTAATATAATGGCTATGACTGCGTTTTCAGGGTACTTAGTTCAAAGCTCAAATTAATTTTGGATTATTTGCAGTGAATAAATAATGTACCCTTTTTGATCCCTTTGTGTGGAAATTTTTCAAAACAAAGCAATGTATGCACAACTGATGTCAGTAAATTTTGAAAGTCTGGTTTATTTTAATGTGAGAAACGTGGAGAAAGAACACTTTTTTCCACTTATGAGTGTGATTGTTCTAAGAAAACCAAATTATGGCACAGAAAAATGGCCAAAGCGTGAACCTTACTGTAGAAATAACAAAAAAATAAATTTTAAATTAGTTACATTATTTGAAAAAGTTCTAATGAAAATACAACCGTGTGTTCACAGCTCAGAGTTAAAGCCGGCACTTGCCTCTGTTTTCCAGTAGAGACCGACAGCTCTCCTAACTGAAGTGTAAACAGCGCATTCTGTTCTTCATCCACAGAGGACTCATACTGAAATAGGTTAATAGGTTTAACTCTTCTTTTTGCCATCTTGGTAAAAAATTTGGTTAATGCTCTGCACAGCACTGAGCGTGATAAAGCTCACAGTGTAGTTATCCCCCTGTCGACCACCAGAGAGTGACAGAGCTCTGTAGGTTTTCTGCTCTCTTTGGACCTTGCTTCCTGATGAATTCACACATTTTACTGGTAACAATTAAAATAATCCAACTTTAAGGCACTTGTATGTTGGCTTTACATTTCAGAACCTACATCCATATTTTATATACTGTCTGTGGTTGGGTTGCCAACAACCAATAAACATCAAGAAGCACAAGATAGTCTCTTGCTGTTAAAGACCAAGTTGTCTGATTACAATATATTCCTGGTATTCATGCTTTAAAGGAAACATTTGCCTATCCCAGCTGTCATAGGGCAAAGGCGGGGTACACCCTGGACAGGTCGCCAGTCTGTCCAGGGCTAACACAAGGACAGACAACCATTCACACTCACATTCACTCGCACATTCACACCTAGTGATCAATTTGGTTATCCAATTAACCTATCCCCACAAAGGTTCACATACTATACATATTATAATAGCAATATATATATATATAGTATATAGTAAAGTCATACATAATTATCGTATATAGTATATATTATATATATACTGATAACTATGCAAATCACAAAATTAAAGAACCTTGAAGCTTGAATAATAGGGTGGTCATGACTGGACTGAGAAAGACGAACTGCTCTGCTTTCACCAAGATGTAAAAGACCCTCTGACAACAACTTCAGTCTGTCAAAGATTAATTATTCTTCGAATGAAACCAGTGTCTTTATGTCCTGATTTCTGTCTTTGTCTGCTTTGACAGTCTGGTAAAACTGGTAAAACAAAACGAGTGACGCCAAACAAAACCATTTAGACTTATGGAAGTGCCATACTGGAGTTGTGCTTATAGTACTGAGACCTGCCTTATTTCTTTCTCAAATGACAACTGAAATCATGAGCCCTTCACTTCAGAGTGTCCACTTTTGTCTTGTCCCTACACCTGCAGGTAGAGCTGCTCCCAATCCTGGTTATAAAGACAAAGGCCATGCTGTGCAACATAAACTCCAGTACTGAGATCACATGTTCAGATTTTACCCTGACTTCAGTGCAGCTCAGTGTAATCGGTCTGGTGCATTTAAGAGATTCAAGCCTAAAGCCTAATGTACCATTTTATTCTAATCCTTATCCTGCTCTAATTTCCAAGTAATTTTACTTTTAACGTAAATGCATTTTCATGCTTGAGTAAGACTTACTCTCTACCTTAAGTAACAGTTTAAGGTGTTTTTACTGTGTGCTCGCTGTAATTTTACTGAATGATCAGAGCGCTTCCTCCATCACTGGTGGAATTTTTTTGTTAAAGATTAAGATCAAGACAAAACCTCTAATATCATTTGCTAAATGCAATTTGAAAGAAATTTTAAAAATCATTCTATATCATCTATATCATTCCCAGTATGCCTGTCTGTTGTTAATACAAACAATGGTAGTAAGAAATGTATTTTAAATACCTCTATAATTATTCTCTTTGAGCTTGAAGGAGAGGTCAGAAGTCACATTTATTAAATTAACTAAATCTTTATACTGTGCTTTCTGTATGTTGACAATAAATACCACATTTAGTTAGTTTTTTGTCAGTTGTTGACCAATAAATCATTAAGTTGACCTTGGAGACCTTAGGGCATGGAGGTCAAATTTTAATGGACTGTCTACATGATCCCACTCTACACCTCTAGTAGGTTTTAGAAGAATTCATGCAAAACTCTTTGTGCTATCATGCTTACAGATTACGCATGCAAACTCTGCCAAAAACATGACCTTACTGGAGGCCAATTATAGAGCAGACTCTGGACAATCATTACATTTATAGTGGATCAGCACTGATAACAAACTTTGTGTCAAAATATGTAACAGAAACTTAAATTTGATTACTTGCCGCAATAACCGCAGTATATTTATCTCCTGATAGTGAACCAGTGCTCAGTTCAGTAACTTGATCCCATCTGTGTTACCTGGCAACTAGTGCCATACCACATAAAACACACCGTTTTCATAAACCTGGGAATGTGCGACATTCAAAGAAGTCCCAAGAAGTGATTTCATGTCCTTCTTGTTGTATTTTTAAATGAAAGGAGGATCTAGGAGGTGTGTGTGTGTGTGTGTGTGTGTGTGTGCGTGTGCAAATGATTCTGTAAAGCGTTCTTATATATGATACTAAAATGTGTATAGGTATGTTACATAATGGGTGAATCTAATCTCATAAGGTGTTTTCAGCGTGTTGAACTCACATTTTTGAATACACACTCATCGTCCGGTTCACTGTGTTCACACGTGTTCATCTGCTTGTTAATGCAAGTAATAAATCAGACAGTCACACGTTAGCAACCCAAAGTACTTCAACATGTAGACATGGTCAGAACAGCCTGCTGAGGTTCAAACTGAACATCAGGGAAAGAAAGGTGGTTTAAGTGACTGAACATGGTGCAGTTGTTGGTGCTAGATTTTTTTTCCCAATGGTTTGAAAAATAGCAAAAATCCAGTGAGCAGCAGTTCTCTGGGTGAAAATGCCTTGTTGATGTTGCAGAATAGAGGAAAATAGCCAGACTGCATCAAGCTAATGGGCAGAAAACACAACACAAAAAATTCAAATAACTACTCGTTACAACCAAAGTATGTACAGGAGCTTCTCTGAGTGCACAGCTCAGATGGACTACAGCAGCAGAAGACCACACTGGGTGCCCCTCCTGTCAGCGAGGAAATGGAAATTGAGGCTACAATTTTTACATACTCACCAAAATTGGACAATTGAAGCTGGGAAAAATGTCTCGTCTCATGAGTCTGCTGCAACATTTGGATGTTGGAGTCAGACTTTGGTGTTAACAACATTGCATGGACGCTTTGCATCTATGCTTTGGCTTGGTTGATGGTGGTGGGAGATCTTGTTACACTTTGGGCGCCTCATTACCAACTGAGCACTGCTTAAACACTACAGCTGACCATGTCCATTGCTTTGATTGCGGTGTACCCAGATTCTGATGGCTGCTTCCAGCAGGATAATGCATTATGTCACAAGCTCAAATCATCTCAAACTGGTTTCTTGAATATGACACTGAGTTCACCTTAATCAAAAAGCATCCACAGTCACAAGATCTCAATCCAATAGAGCACCTTTAGTATGTGGTGAAATGGGAGATTCACATCATTCATGTGCAGCCAACTCCAGCAGCTGTGTGATGCTATCAACTAAACATGGACCAGAAATCTTAAAAGACAAAAGGGGGTCCAACCCAGTACTAGCAAGGTGTACCTCATGAAGTGGCCAGTGAGGGTATATCTCAGGCTATGTAACTGTGAGTAATACGAAGCCTGGCTAGATAGCAGATTATGTCATCTAGTGAAATCCCTTGGTGGTTTATATTGTTTTCTGAGGGAGGAGCCAGTTTAACAGTGTGATGTGATAAAGTCACGCAGCCTCTCACTCTCTCATGTGAGGCGTCTTGAAGGCTTCGTTGATGATGTCTGAAACAGCTGGTCAGTGTGGGCTTAAACATGTTGTGTTATCTGTGTGTAACTAGCTGTAAATTATTTCTTGTTGTTGTTTTTGGATGCTAGCTCTTCAAGAAATCTTTTACACAGCAAGCTTTTCTTTTTTTTTTATTATTGCGCTTTCAGATATGCTACCTAAATTTGAGAGCAAGGTTCACCCACACCAAGTGACTCAGCAGTTGCAGCAGCAAAAAACACATGGAATAAATCAAGGATTGGTCTCTGCTTTGTATAAGGTGGGTGTTTATCTGTCACAAGCTTTTATTTTTCACACAGGATTAGGATTAAGAAAACTGGCATTGTAACTATATCATATCCATATTAAAAGTACTGTTTTCTAAACTTCACTATAAATGGGGTAATATATCAAAACCAAAAGTATTCATGTAATGACTTGCATTACATTATCATCAGAGTTTCATATATACAATATTAATCTACAAATAGTTCCTGTGATGAAAAATGCTGTATAGAGTGGAGGAGAAGCCAGACATCATGAAATCAAGATACTTAATTAAAATGTGTGAGCAAAGTAGAGTACAGTAACTGAATAAATGTGCTTTGATTTCTACTATTTCATGTTATGTTAAACCTAAACTGTCTTTCTTGTTTTGTTCACAAGTATTATAGTTTGGCTATAATGATAGGAATTATTTTTAAATTGTGCTAGTTCCTTAAAAATCATTGCTCTTTTATGCCCTCATTAAGAAATCTGAGTGCAATTAACTCACTCATTAACGCATTTATGTGTTGATCCACAACCGCTGCCCGACTGCTGCCTTTCCTCTACAGTAAGTATTAGGTTCGTGCAGCTTGCTCAGCAGCAACACAGCTCTGACATCACTGTTGCAATGTCGAGCACCCACAGCGGTTGCTGCAGAGCCTCCTCTCTCCTGCCACTCTGGCAGACCTCATCCTAAGCTCGATCTCATCTACACAATCTCCCATGTTGTGCCAGGATGTCGGAAGCTGGCTTGGAGTCACGGCTAGTTCATACTCTGGCGGTTAACACAGCCAGACCCTCTAAACACCTTTTTCTGTCCCCTTCGTTCCAGCGCCTTGCTCTCGCCTCCTGGATCAAGGAAAACATTTGCAAGAAGGAATGCTGCTTTTTTGAAAAAGATGGAAGGTAAGCTGGGCTGCTCTGCACTATGCTGAATTGATGAGGACTGACTTAGGACTGACCTTCTTGTTGTTGCTGTAATAGAGTGGTGCTGTGGGGACAGTTACATGATAATGCAGTTTTCAGCTAAATAAAATACAGAATGCAAAACAAACTTTGAACACTAAAAAATGGGCATTTCTAAAAAAATTAGCTTTTTAATTAAAACTACTGGATATCTGCAAAGCAGGTGAAGAAGAATTAATGTATTTATACTTTTTTAAATCTTAAACATCGGCTTCTGTTTCTCTACTGTTTCTGTAGTGGGGATGTGTGTAAGTGTGGCTACGCAAAAACTGATCATACAGACGAAGCCATCAAGCCAGAAGACTTCACAGGCGAGTCGTGGAACATACACAGACATGTCCGTGAAGCGCCCACTGACGCTTTTGGAGACATCAGCTTTGGTGGTTTGGGACAAAAGACAGGCAAGGTGAGCCAGTCCTTACTCTACATTATGTTACTGTGTAAATGCACATCTGCAAGTCTTTATGCCATCCTTTAAATCTGTGTGTACATGTCCACCGTCAGTACGCCCGAGTGTCCACAGACACCAGCCCTGAGATCCTGTACCAGTTATTGACTGAACAATGGAAACTGTCCCCTCCCAATCTACTGATCTCAGTTACCGGAGGAGCCAAGAATTTCTATCTGAAGTCTCATCTTAAGAACATGTTCCACAGAGGGCTGATCAAAGTGGCCCAGACAACAGGTCAGCCAGAACGAGAGCAAGCGAGCGATAGATTTGTGTGTGAGATATCATTCATTGCACAGAAAGTAGTGTTTTTATGGCTACGTGCCACCTTCCATGCTTCTGTTCTGTTCATTTTGGTAGTCAGATAGACTTCAGCTGTATGTAGTTTGCGTTTGTACTAACTGTAAAAACAGTAAAAACTTGTAATTCTAGCATCCTGAATATCTCTCCTGGTTTCCTGGTAACCTTGCGGACTTGTGAAACTTTCAGAAAATGATTGCTCCAGGCCCAGAAACAGTCCCACACTCAACCCCACCCCCCTTCTTTTGCATGATTTTTAGGTTGTTTCCAGAAAAACATTCACATAGGAGTCCTATCTTTAAAGTCAGGACTGTAAGGCTCTTAATATTGACTTTCATATTTTAGAGATATTTTGTTCTACTGGTGAATATGCTGCTTTGTACGCAGGTGCATGGATCATCACTGGTGGTACCCACGCAGGTGTGATGAAGCATGTGGGGCAGGCTGTGAGGGACTACGCCATGAGTAGCTCCATGCAGGGCAAGATTGTAACTATTGGAGTGGCAACATGGGGGATAATTCATAACAGGAAAGCACTGGTGCATCCAGAGGTAGGACAAACACTTATGGTGAGATGGCATCATCTTCTTAGTATTCGGTTACTGTAAATTCTTCTCACTCTCCGTCTTTTTCCTTTAGGGATGCTTCCCTGCCCATTATTTGATGGACACTGGGAACCAGGGCCAACTATCCACTCTCGACAGCAACCATACCCACTTCCTGCTGGTGGATGATGGAACCCACGGACATTATGGTGTAGAGATTAAATTGCGTAGCTGCCTAGAGATGTGGATCACCAGAAAGTGTCTTGGAAATAAAGGTTAAAGATAACAGATGTAGTATCTAAAAAATCAATAAGACAACACAGATATTTATTGAAATATGATAATATATCTTTCAAGCTTTAGATTTTTTTTTTTAATTGATCAAATATTTGATCTTTAGGGACTGGTGTGACTATTCCTGTGGTGTGTGTGGTTTTGGATGGCGGACCAGGCACGCTGAATGTGAGTCAGCTGTTTTTTGGCCTCTCTCCCCCAGTGTCAGTGTGTGTGTGTGTGTGTGTGTGTGTGTGTGTGTGTGTGTGTGTGTGTTGTATAACTGCCCTGTGTGTCTCCTCTCAGACCATCTACAATGCTATGCTCCATGGAACACCATGCGTGATCTTGGAGGGCTCTGGGAGAATAGCAGATGTTATTGCACACGTGTCAGGACTGCCACTAATCCGAGTCACTATTGCCCTCATCCAGCAGTTGATGAAGAAGTTTTTTGGTCAAGAGTATGAACAATTCTCAGATGGCAAAATCATAGAATGGACCAAGAAGGTATGTAAATATACTGAATACCATAAAATTACTGAACTTACTATAGAAGCTTTTTTGCCCAGAGTGTGGAGTTTGCATGTTCTCCCCGTGTTTGCATGGGTTCCCTCCAGGTACTCCGGCTTCCTCCCACCGTACAAAGACATGCAGTTTGTGGGGATAGGTTAATTGATTAATCCAAATTGCCCATAGGTGTGACTGTGGGAGTGAATGTGAGTGCGAATGGTTGTCTGTCTCTGTGTGTTAGCCCTGCGACAGACTGGCAACCTGTCCAAGGTGTACCTGCCTCTTGCCCTATGACAGCTGGCATAGGCTCTGAAAAGGATAAGCGAATGGATGGATGGATGGATATTAGACAACCACCCAGACTTATGTTTATGCAATAGCTGCCCTAAATTGACAGTGTAAAAGCAGTGTTTTCATACATGCCTTACTTGGATGGTCATGAGTCATATTTTGTGACTGATCTAGTAGTTGACATTATCATCTCAGATGATGTTTTCTGTGTTAGATATTGCCACAATGTATATACACCAATCAGGTATAACATTATGACCATCTGTCTAATATTGTGTTTATCCTCCTTTTGCTGCCAAAACGACTCCGACCCATCGACCTTGAACTGGAGTCCACTAGATCCCTGAAGATGTTCTGTTATAGCTGCAAAAATATGTTAGCAACAGAGCCTATAAGTCCTGTTAATTGTGAGGTGGGCATCCATGTACATAGGTTTTTTTGTTCAGTCATTATCAGTCTTTATTTCCCCAATAGATGCTCGATTGGGGAAATTGAGCTCTGGGGAACTTGGAGGCTAATTCAACACCTCAAACTCGTTGTGCTCCTCAAACCATTCCTGGACTATTTTGCTTTGTGGCAGGGAGAATCATCCTGCTGAAAGAAGCCACACCCATCAGGGAATACCATTTCCATTAAAGGTTGTACATTGTCTGCAACAGTTCTTTGCTAGGTAGTACATTTCAAGGTAATATCCACATGAATTGCAGGACCCAAGGTTTCCCAGCAGAACATTGCACAAATCATCACACTGCCTCTGCTGGCTTGCCTTCTTCCCATATTGCACCCTGGTGCCAGGTGCTCCTCAGGTAAGCAACGTACACGCACTTGGCCACCCACGTGATGCAGAAGAAAACGCGGTTCATCAGACCAGACCACCTTGTTTCATTGCTCTGTGGTCCTGGCCTGAAGCTCACCCGGCTGTTGTTGGTGCTTTTGGTGGTGGACACGGGTCAGCATGGACACCCTGACTGGTCTGTGGCTATGCAGCCCCACACAGGATGAACTGCAATGTAATGTGTATTTTGACACCTATCTATTTGAGCTACAGCTGTTTGTTTTTTTTGTTTTATCAGACCACACAAGCCAGCCCTCACTCCCCACATGCATCAGCGATTCTTGACAGCCCTGTTGCTTGCTGTTCCTAGCTTGTATCGCTTTTGATAGATACTGACCACTGCAGCTCAGAAATGCAACATAAGGGCTAAAGTTTAGGGGATGCTCTGACTCAGTTGTCTAGCCATCACAATTTTGGTGTTTTCACGCTCGCTTAAATCCTTATGCTTGCCCATTTTTCCCGTTTCTAACATCAGCTTTGAGGACAAAATGCTCACTTTCTCCCTGATAAATCCTATCCACTAACATAGCTCTTATATATATTCGGGTCCTCACCCCCCTGTGTCTAAGTCTCCTCTCCCTTCATGTGTTTCATGTCTGCTTGTCAGATTTAGGTCTATTACATTTGCTGTTCACATTTTTCTTTGTCAGGGTGACACCTTCATCTTCATCACCATGCATCTTCAGTAACATATGTTGAACAGCACAGTTTTAGCTGCAGAACTGTTTCCTGCAGCTAAATGACTAAATATCAAAGATGAAAATATTTGCACGAAGTTTGTTATGTGCTCACCAGAGATGTCTGAGCCAGAGCCAAAGAAACAGTGGTTCCAGTATTTAAATGTTTTTCTTTATTGAATTTGTAGATTCAGGACATCATCAGGATGTCACACCTGCTGACAGTGTTCAGAGTGAGCGAGGACTATCACGGGGATTTGGATGTGGCCATTCTTCAAGCACTACTCAAAGGTAAGAATATGGATTTGAAGCAAATGCCCGGATCCTAACCAGACAGCCTACAAACATAACACACGCTATTAAGTATGAAGAAGGACTGGCTTAGTGCCAAACAGGCTCTTAGCAAGTATAATATTTCCAGTCAGAAAAATAAATGTGCTATCGAATGTCCCACAGTTGAAGATATTTTGATACCATCTTTACAGAGAGACGTTTAAAACTACACTTGATGTCTTTAAAAATGTGCCATGCTTCCTTCAGACTAATAACGCCTCATGATATTCTGAAAAAATACCTAAGAAACCCATTTAAACCAAGCTTAGCAAAGAAATCTGAGCTAAAGTGCACTGAAACCTTAGGTGAGTCCACCACACTGGACATTCACTTAATCTTTTGACCGTGATGAGTCATCATTCTAGTTTATCTGCTTTGTCCAGACTTTCCATCCATCTGGGTAATTAAACCACATTATCTGGGCGCCTTTCTGCTATCTCAGCTAATGTAGGTCATCCAGTGTCTCCCATTATAGTCACATGACTACAGTCCTGGTAGTACAACTGGAAATTTTCCTGTACTAATGCATCAAGAACACTATAATAGAAAAATAATTGGTTTATGTTTGATATTTGGTTTTGATGATAAACCAAACACGTCCATGCTTCCATCTTGTCAGACTGGACTCTTGCTTGTCTTTTTGTTGTAATATAAATATTTTTTAAAGATTTGCTGGGGGAAAAACATCATTCTCAGATGTTTAAGAATTTATTTAAAAATCAATTAGATTAGTCATTGGATAAATGAAAAAAACAACTTTTTACATTCAAATAGTAAATGGCCTGTATTTGTATAGCGCTTTTACTAGTCCCCCCTAGGGACCCCAAGGCCCTTTACACACCCAGTCACACACTGGTGAAGGCAAGCTACAGTTGTAGCCACAGCCACCCTGGGGCAGACTGACAGAAGCGAGGCTGCCATATCGCGCCATCGGCCCTTCTGGCTAACACCAGTAGGCGGTAGGTGAAGTGTCTTGCCCAAGGACACAACGAGCGAGACTGTCTGAGCCGGGGCTCGAACCGGCAACCTTCCGATTACAAGGCGAACTCCCAACTCTTGAGCCACGATCGCTCCGATACTATCTAAAATGCACCGAGCAGTGGATGAGCTTTTTAGAGAGACAAGAGACAAATAAATCGAATCACTGTAAATTCTCCTTTCAGCCTCAAGATCCAGTGAATTCCTGGAAGTTGAATGCTGGAATAGGCAGCTGGAGCTGGCTATAACCTGGAACCGGGTGGATATAGCTGAGACTGAGATCTTCACTGAGGAGAGCCAGTGGAAGGTGGGTTTGTCTTTTAAATAGAAAACCAACATCACTCTCTGATCAGTTACCCAGATAGTGTTTTTTCTCCCCCATTTCCTGCTGAACATCAATAAGAAACATCAGTTCCTCCAAATAACTTTATCCCTTCCTTCTGTCCTGCTGGCTGCAAGTAATGCTGAATTTTATTCTTCTGTAAGGCAAGGCACCTAAGCCTTGCACCTGGTGATGTTATTCTAAAATGTAATTCTGTTTGAATTATGTAAAAATAAAATAATAAATTAACGTTTTTATATTTCTTCTCTACTTACTTTCAGTTTACACACTTTTCTTGGACTTCATGCACACTGCTTTTCCAGTCTTTTCTCTAACATTTAACCTTCTTTGTAAAGTATATCACTCTGTTGCTAGTAAAGCTATTGGTTACATGCTTCCCTTTTGTGCAAACAAACTCATAGCTAGATTGGGAAACTCTGGGTTGCCTTATTTAGTTGATACCTACCTCTTGTGTGACTGCTTAGTCTGATTTCTGATGTTAGGGGGGAAAAAGGGAATTGAAATGAAAGAGAAAAATCATGACCTTTACAGCACAGGCTTTGTGATTGAAAAGCATTGAAATCCTGGTTTGTATTAGTAAGATAAATTTATTGAATGGGAAAACTGAAATAGGTAATTATGTGAGCCTATCAGGTGCCAGACTGCCCACACACGCCATTTTCACTGGAGAAGTGAAAAACTGTAAATAATTGACATACATATAGGTTTAACTATAGGGAGAGTTTGCTGTGTTCGAAACTGGTTCCAAAGGTAAACCCAGCCCATATTATCAATACAGAAAGCCTTCTTGCCACCATAACACCATAAAGTCAGCTGATTCAGCAGCAGCATGCATCATATTATAAAGGTTTTACGAATAACAGAGAAGAGGTCTAGAAAGAAATAGCAGTCTGCTTTTCCATTCATATTATTGTCTCCATGTTGAACTTTGCCATCACACCATCCTTTGTTTCTAAAACAATGATACTAGACAAAAAAACAACAAAAATTCTGATGATGTTGTTCTGATTTTTTTCCTGCTTCTAGTCCAACGACCTCCACTGGGCCATGTTCTCAGCCCTGGCTGGCAACAAGCCTCAGTTTGTGAGTCTGTTGCTGGAGAACGGTGTGAGTCTGAGGGATTTCCTGCAGGAGGAGGAAACTCTGTGTGAGCTCTACACACAGCTGCCCAGCTGCTTCTTTCTGCGCAAGCTGGCTAAGCGGATCCACAGTGCTCGACGCAGCGGGAGGCAAGCTTTCGGCATCAGAACTCGAGCTTGCAGGGAGCAAGGCGAAAAGATCTCCCTAACTTATGTCTCTGATGAGGTGCGCCACTTGCTGGGGAAGTTCACCCAGCCCCTCTATCCTCCCTCCACCACCACAGACCAGTTAAACATGTCCATGGATGAAACGTCACTGTCAGTGAGTTAGTTCATCCAGTCTGTTTTTTTGTTTGAAACACCGAATCTGTCTTTTTGCCAATTAATCACGTGTTGTATCTTACCCAATTTTATTTTTTATAATTTGAGAAAGCTTATTTTATGGAAATAGATGTTAGTAGGAGTAAAATATTCAGTAAATATACAAAGTATTTAGACTTAATATGCTGTTTTAGGGTATCACTATATCAGAAATCCTGGCATTGTGAACATTAATCATATAATAATAACAGACTCCTTCACTTTCTTTTTAGCCGTCTAAAAGTCAGACAAGTTCCCAAGCTCAGCTCAGGGAGGACAGTCCTGAAACACAGAGGGATCCGGGCACAGACCTTTTCCTTTGGGCTGTCGTCCAGAATAACAAGGAACTGGCTGAAATTGCCTGGGAGCAGGTGACGAAAGCACTTCTGGAAACTTCAACCATAGCTGCTTGCGTGGCGTGTTTATGACCTCACATCTTTTTGTATCTGTGTACTAACAGTGTAGGGATTGTATGTCTGCTGCTCTGGCTGCCAGTAAGATCCTGAAGAAAATGGCACGAGAAGGAAGCGATGCAGATGATGCAGAAGAAATGCGAGAACTCGCCAATCACTATGAGAAACATGCCATTGGTATAACACATATCATAACATGGCTGAATTGACCGTGATTGTTACGGAGCTTGAATTTATCCTCAGGCTGCGTATATGTGTGTCCCAGGTGTCTTCACCGAGTGCCACAACAGTGACGAGTCGCGCGCTAAGAAACTGCTGGTTCGCATGTCACACTTGTGGGGCAGAACGACATGCCTGCGGCTGGCACTCGAGGCAGATGACAAAAACGTCATAGCTCAGTCTGGTGTTCAGGTAGAGGAAATTTTAGATTTTTCCAGAGGGGATTGCCAGTGTGTTATACATCACAATGTTGAGTAGATCAATTAAAGTTACAAAATTAAGAAATCGCTCAATTTAATTTCAAACTTTTTCTTGGTGCTGCATTATAATGCAGTCTGTGTAAACGTGTCTTTCAGGCTCTGCTGACTCAGATCTGGTGTGGTAAGCTTTCAGTAGAGAACCCTGTGTGGAGAGTGCTGATCTGCATGGTGTTTTTCCCTCTTATCTTCACTGGCTTTCTGTGTTTCAGGTGAGACCTGCCAGCCAGCTAAGGGGTACAATGGCTTGTACAGTGCTACTGTGTTTATATGTGTTTTTATTAACACTGGCAAACAGAATGGAGCAAAATAGAGATAAGATAAATAAATTCTTCCCAAGTGAAGAAAGGAAGCATAGCATATGTAAATGACTACTAGGGAGTTGGATGGGCTGGCTTTAGACCACACACAAAAGGCTTTTCTGCCTAATAATGGATAATGCCATGCTACTGTACAGATGTGTGTGAAGTAGGTTAGAGCAAGTGGTAAGGAAAGTGATAAATAGACTGCATCACTGCAACACTGGTCACATTTTTTTTTTCCTGGCATCTCCATTCTACCATCTTAAAACAACCCTGAAGAAAATAAACATTACTATACAAAAGGAAAAACCCTTCATTTGGTTGTACCCAATGATGCAATCAATGACCTCATGACCTTATATAAAAAGGAAGTGCCAGTTCGGCCCCTCCCACACACCTGTTTTGGCTGTATGACCAGAACAAAGGGACAAACAAAGGTAATTATAACCAAAGCAACAAAAGCAAACATAATTTACCGTGTCATTCTGCCTACGGCAGAAAAAAATTCAAACCACCTGATGGTTAAGTAGTATTTGCTTTAAAAGCATATGCATGGATGTAAACTGTAACATAACGCTACCACAAACAAACCCAGGAGAGTATGTAGAGCAAAGTTACACCAGCAATGTCTAAACTAAAGCATTATGGCCAACTGTAAAATAACATGGGATAAATAAATATGTTTAAGGGACAAGTGGTAAATAAGTTCAAGCCTACCACTTTGTCACAATACATACATATTAAAAGTTTTACTTTAACTTAATTTTAAACATACACAAATACATAAATATACAGTAAGCCACCAATGTAATGTCCAGGCACAGACAACTCTCACTTGTTTTCATTTGACAGAAACTGACTAAATATACCGTACAACACATATCTACAACTGTGTCATCTAAAATGACTCCTGATTCATCTTTCATACACCATGGAATTGCTGCCAAAAGCAAATAAGAAGGATAAAGGAGGGAAACTGCAGATAAAGCTTTCATCAGTGCATTCAGGGGAAAAAATGAAGTCACTTTCCAAGATCTAGATGTGTATTTTGCTGGAAGTTTCCCTGACAGAGATTAGCTATATGGCCAAACAATAGTTAACATCCAAAAACCCATAGGAGGAAAATCTGACAACAACACCATGGATGCTAAACAGAAGTTCGCCGAGAGAAACGTGACAGTTTACACAGTGACTAAGTGGAGATTCTTACATCTGGTGTAATGTAAGGATGTGTGTGACTAATTGTTATTACTGTCGGTACTAGATGTACTTGTACTTTAATCTAATTGTTAACGTCTGAATTGATGCCAAAAACTGGAAAATTGTGTCCTAAATGTTATGCCTAACCTCCTTTTTAAGCCTGTTATTGTTACTTATTTTTTTAAATCACGGATACAAGTGGCGGAAATTAGCTTTCTTCTTTAGAAATAGGTTGAGGAGTCATTCAGGAGGTACTCAGAGTAGAGCCGCTACTCCTCAATGTCGAAAGGAGCCAGTTGGGGTAGTCGCCTCCCGGGCATGTCCTACTCTGAGGAGGCCCTTGGGTAGACCTTGGACACACTCGGTTGGCCACTGTGTTCCCCTGGATAACCTGGAGGAGGTGGCTTGGGGAGAGGGAGGTGTAGACTTCTCTGCTTAGGCCCCCCGTGACCCAAAGGAAGAAATGGATGGATTATTTATCGTTTTAGATTTTAACTTTCATTGAGATAGTTGTTATGAATTGTAGAGCAATGCGTATTCTTCATAATATGCTGAACAATGTTCATAATGCTAGGTGCCACACATTTAAACTACGATTCATTATTGACGAATGTGATTAATGGTTTCAAATGCCTTTGTTTGGAGGGTTTTTGACATTGTTAATTAAACAATGCCCCAATTGAACTTTCTGCTTGTATTCTTTTTAATAATAATACCTGATTGAGTTTCAGCTGTGGTCAAAAGTGTAACTTTTCCACAGACATGATGAAATCATCCAGAGAGAAACTGCGAAAGACGAGGAGATGAAGACAGTGGAGACCCTGACAGGAAGCACACTTAGAAGAAATGGTTATGGCCCGTATGTACATACTTGTTCCTTAATGCAAATATCAACCCTTATCGCTGCATGACCCTAAATGTCATTTGAAGTTGAATAAACAGTGGATACATGAAAACATGGCATTGTCTCTCTAACTGCAGTGATCTTTCTGTCCACAGCTTGAAGCCCATGAAGCCTCTGGGCTGCTGGTCCAGGCTGATGTACCTGTACACCTCCCCACAGGTTAAATTTTACTGGAACATTGTATTTTATTTTGCCTTCCTCTTCCTGTTTGCTGTGGTGCTGATGATCGATTTCCAGAGCACGCCCTCTGCTGGCGAGCTACTGCTCTACATCTGGCTGCTCTCGTTGGTGTGTGAGGAGATCAGACAGGTGAGAAACTGTGGCTCAGACCCACAAATGATACAAAACAACAAACAAATAGCCTTTTTTTTCTTTGTGTGCACTGTACTGTATTGTAGAGAGACAGTCTTTGAATTTTTCAACACAAACAGTGGCCCCATTCACCTTTAGAGGCTCACATGTTTAAAAGGTCAGCAGTAAGAAATGGTGAGTGCCCTTCTTCTTTTAGAGGAGGGAGCAGTGTAACAGAGCAAGTCCACGGAGAATAGAAAACCTTTGTAGTTGTAACAAATGCAGCAAAAACTTATGCATTTAAAATAGGACAGAAACGAATAAGCATGCGCCTGAAAAGGAAGCATTACACAAATAAATAAATATAAAATTACATCAGGGTAATCTCTGGGGTAGTATGAATGACATTGTTTCACCAGTGAGAGTAATTATTGCACCAGAATGAATATAATTATCTTTGAAAGTAATTACCTTTAGTAGTCATTTCCCTAAAAGGCAGTCATTATATAGCCTGTAAACAGACATTTACTCCTAGCTGAAATTCACTTTGTAAATGGCCCTGGGAATGAACTGTCTTTGAGTCCTTAAAATGCTCTGAAGGTCCCGCTCCATCCAGAGGGTAGCAGGTCAAACAGGTGGCGTCCTGGATGTGAGGAATTATAGCAAGTGTGCAGCCCTAAGAGGTGACAGGAGCTGGCAGTGGGAGGGTAAACAGCAATCCATGGTTTTCTGTGCTGTGTTGATGACCCACTGAAGAGCTCTGTGATCTGTTACTCAGAGATACGATATGCCATTACGTTCTAAGCAGAGGAGCTTAAAAGGCAAGGCCTGCAGCTTGTAGGTTCCAGCAGTTGTAGTCGCTGTTGTACCTTCTTAATAACCCACATGGTGCTGGCAGGAAAGGTCTCCAGAGGATTTCTGGGTGTGACCCATTTTAACACAGTTCCCCTTGATGTACAGAGGGCAGTCAATTTGTTTACCTACCTAAATCCTGTCCCTGAGTAACTCCCTTTTTCTGTCTTTTTTTGTTGTTTTCATTTCAAAGGCTTCTTTATCCTTTAATGATTTATTTATTGATTAGAAAGTAATCAAAATAATTTAAATGATAGGTGATTGTATGTCGAATGCTAAGTAATATAAAATCCTCTTATGTCTAATTCTCTTTTCTCTTTCAGCTCTTTCATGATCCAGATGGTTTTGGGTTTCGTAAGAAAGCCAAGATGTACATCAATGAGTTTTGGAATATTTTAGATGTCCTCTCCATCGTCCTGTTCCTTATCGGCCTTGCATTTAGGTGGGTTTTTGCTCTCTAAGACAGTCTGTGGAAATCAATCCACCCACTGCATTATCTATGAATCACCAAGCTTTTCCTACTTCAGGCTGACAACCGAGCTGTTTTATCTGGGTAAAATCATCCTCTGCATCGATTTTGTGGTCTTCTGCCTCCGTCTCATGGCCATCTTCACTATCAGCCGAACCCTCGGACCCAAAATCATCATAGTCAGAAAGATGGTGAGGGGTTTACAGAACAAATACAAAGCATGCTGACCTGAGGTTTTATGGCTACACCAAAAAAACACGCTTACCTAATACAATAAGAGGCTTCTACCTCACCGAGCCTCGATCATAGTCTGCAGATGAAATGTAGTCCTTGTGTTTCAAAAAGGTGTTTTGAACACTTGGATCATTTTTGTTACCACACTTATTTCAGTCAGTCAGACCTCAACTTTGTGTTCAGCTACACTTTATTTACTCCCTAAGCATACATGAGATGTCAGAGTTTGCAACCGTGTTTCTAAATGTGTCAATTTCTGAGTGTTTCTTGCTTGTGATTGGTGCCTTTCTATCCTCCAGATGATGGACATGTTCTTCTTCATGTTCCTCCTGAGTATCTGGGTGGTGGCTTATGGTGTCGCCAAACAAGGCATCCTCATCCACAATGAAAATCGTCTGGATTGGATCATCCGTGGGGTGCTTTACGAGCCATACCTCATCATATTTGGCCAGTTTCCCAAAAATATTGATAGTGAGTGGATTTTGAGAATCTTATACTTTAAAAAAATATATATTTTTATTTTAGCTGTAATAATTTGTTTCAGTATTTTGTTACACATATTTATTCTCCTCCAAAGGCTTCAACTTTGCTCATCACTAATGAGGATGTCATTTTTCTTCCTGCAGACACTGAGTTTGACATGAACTCTTGCAGCGTGAATGCTACAGATCCCCTGAAGCCTAAATGTCCCGTGTTGAACGAAAACCAGAGCCCGGTCTTTCCTGAATGGCTCACCATCATCATGCTTTGTGTTTATTTGCTCTTTGCCAACATACTGCTGCTCAACCTCTTAATAGCAATTTTCAAGTGAGTCCTCCTTGTCATCAAAGTGTATGAGCTTTTCTGTCATCTTACTGTTTTAATGATGATGATGATGAGCCCTCGCCTTTTTTTTATTTTTAAACTTCCTTATGTTTCGTGTTATCGTCCCGCACAGCTTTACATTTGAGGAAGTCCAGGACAACACAGACAAAATATGGAAGTTTCAAAGATACGAGTTAATTAAGGAGTACCACAGTCGACCTGCTGCCCCTCCTCCTTTCATCATCCTCAGTCATATCTACCTCTTCATCAGAAGCATGGTGCTGCGGAGGCCCCCCAAAATATACAAAGAGTTCAGTAAGTGCTGAAGTGTTTATCCACACCTTTGCAGACTTTTGTGTAATTAAAAATGCTTCATTATTTATGTACATGGCTACAGACCACCCACATACAGGGTACCCCAAAGGTGAAGAAGAAGAGAACTTGTAGGCGTTCACATGCCACGAAGGCAGATTTAAATTTGTGCCTGCAACTTCAGACTCAAGGTATGAAAGATGGTAGCTATACCTATGTATGGTGAAAACGCTAAGGAAAGAGATGGGATCTTTTTAAAAAGGTCATCCTCTTCCTCATCACCTCAAGCTTCATCTCCTGAACTGAAGTCAGTGCTCTAGCACACAAAAACATATCAGCAGATTAGCCATGCAACCCTCGCATCTCTGTACAGCAGACAGTGAGTCGGCTAAACAACAGCTGCTTTTACTCTGGCATCACTCCATCTAATGTTAGGCTCAAGTGTCCTAAAGATCCCACTTTCCCTCTGATGAACAGTTTGACCATATTCTCACATCGTGTGACAGCTGATTTGCTAAGTGTCCAAGTCCAATACCAACTTATCTAGAATTATGCACCTAAATTGGGAGAGTTTAGAAAATAGAACTCAGTTGATTGCAATCTACTGACATCTAGTGGTGACGTTTAACTCACTGTAACTAAAACTATGAAATAACAAGATCAAAAGATCTAATATTGTATTTTCTGTCACATAAAACTGTTTCTTGAGTGACCAGTGGAGTGAGTATGGCTCCAAAAGCAGGTCAGTCATGTGAGCAAAACCAGATCACATGACTGAAATCCCACATTTAGGTCACATCAAAACAAGTATCTCAAATGCAGGTGAAGGCTTCCGTTTTCAAAACTAGATCTAAACACAAGTTTCAGAGCTTTTAGCCACATCTCATGGTGTTCGTCAGCAGGTGAAGTTTGCCCGGTTGCCATGGAGATGGATCAGTTTATCCCCATCATACTGTAACCAGAGTATGACCCTTTATTTATCTCATTAATGCAGATGATCTCCTCTGCCTCTGCTCATGGTCGACAGATTTTTACCTGTTTTTGGTGCTGTTGAGAACGTGGCAGTGAAGATGCTGAAAGTTTAATGTATTCAGAGGTCATCTGCAGACCCTGACAGTGCTTTAAACAAAAACCTAATTTGTGTTTTAAAAAGATTATTATAACTATAAAATGCAGAAAAAAAAACCTCAAACTGAACATGAACTGAAAAGAAAAGGTCGCTGAGCAGCTAGTATTTGCTCTTTCTGTTTAACTCACTCCCAGTTTATCTGTTGTGCAGGGTTTTCTGTCCGCATGGATGTGCAGAATTAGGTTATGCAGTGATTCAAAGCATGTGATGCTGTTTTTCAGAGAATGAGCTCAACCCGACAGAGGATGAGGAGCTGCTGACCTGGGAGTCCTTGATGAAAGACAGATACTTGGTGTCTGCACGGCAGGAGCAGAGCCAGAGCACGGAGAGACGCATCCTGGACACAGCCCAGAAGTAATCTCACAGTAATGTAGCTGAAAGTCGCTGTATGTGTGCTGTCTATGCATCATCACACCAGTTTCCATAAAACGGAGTGAGCAGTCCAGCCAAAATGTGATTGCACGTTCTTTTTTTAATGAGCTTTTAGAGACCAAAGGACCAATTTGCATGCATAATCACCTTATGTATCACACACAGTTGGATAGATTTAGGGTAATTTGAGATATTTTCTGTCCAAGGACTTGGATGTGGCTGCTTCACCAAACAATATTTACATAAAAATTATTGAAATCACTCTGTGTTATTAAAAAAAAGTAGTATATAATAATTTCCTGTTTGTTTTATTGTAAAGACTGATGATTTTCTTTAAGTAATTTTCAAACTGACACTTGTTTCTGCAGGGTTAACATCATAACTGATCTGCTGGAGAGAAATGGGGAAACGAGCGCTGCTGCCATGCTGAAAAGACTGACTCAACTTGAAGAGCAGGTTGTGGCCTGATTTCTTTTGGTTGGCACTAATGTTGCACCTGTGTCTGTGATATGTCACGATATGCTAATGGAGGGTGACCTGAGGCACTAAAGACACGGCATGCTTTTTGTGGCACGCTCTTGTGTGTCAGGGGTGTGAATTTTAGACTTACACGCTTAAACGTTTTTAATACGTTTTATGGCTTTTCCTACTGATAAACACCTCCCCCATTTCCATTCATACTACACCAAAGTCATAAAGTAGCAAATAACCAATTAAGTGGCATAAGATTCCTGTTTTCTTCACTATCTAATGCAGAAATGTGTACTTTTTACAGTGGGTTCACAGTTAAACGAAAAAACTCTCTATCTCGGGGATTCAACGTGTAGTTACACTTTACACTGACAGAAAGAGGAGTTTCACTGCTCTGACCCACTTAAGATCAAACTTAGCTATACGTGTAAAATTACTTTGACGTCCTTGATCTAAGCAGCTAACAGAAGTAGTTGATCCACTTTCCTTTGTCTCATCAGGTCAGCCAGTCTACTAAAGCCCTGCAGTGGATTATGGATAGTCTGAAATCTCAGGGTCTGCCCTCAAAAGACACACAGTCACGGAGTCAGTACCAAATTTTATTCACTATTTACATGTCACAGTTGTATGTTTGATAAATATTCTAAATCTGCTGTTGTTTGCGCACATTTTTGTGGTTACCTGCAGCTCCAGCTGGCGTAGATGAGACCCCAGATTCTTTCAGGAATACATCAGAGAAAGGAAGCGGTTTCCATGTGAATTCCCGTCAGTTTTCCTACCCAAACAGCAAACTCACGCGCTTCCCTGTGCCTGAGGAGAAGGTGCCCTGGGAGGTACTTATTATATATTTAAATATTATTAAATATTATTTTTTTTCCACCACAAAGTCACCAGTTGCCACTCCTCAGAAAGTCACTGACCTGATAAATTGTCCAATAATTCTGGTGGTTTTTATCTTCTTTTCTTCCAGGTCAGTTTCAGCTCATACAAACCAACTAATTATACCTCTGACGACAGCGAAGACCATGTGGATGGGTGTGTGAAGCCATACTTTCCTGTTTTCACTAGCGTTTTATTTGAGGACAGCGTAGAGTCTGTTTTTCACATGTCTAGAAAGCAACACTCTTCCAGTAGGTTATAAGTAATCATTGAAAGGGATTATTTTGCGTGAGTATACACATTGTGTTTTTAACCTGCATATTATACCCATAAAAACATTAATTAGCAGGCAATGAATGGGCCTCGGTGACAAGTGAATTACCAGTTTTCAGGTTGAATCTATTTGAACACAGTAAATAAGCTTTCTGGCCTAACTTTGACTTTATTGTGTAATTACAAGACCGCCTCCTCCAATCTCTGTACGCTCTTCATCTATTGTTTCTCTCTGCAGATCAGAACCAGAAGCCTTAGCTAATTACAGGTATGACACAAGAACAGATATAGAACCTATTCAGTATTACTTATAGTAACCTCAAAAGCGTGTCTTGATGTCTGATAAGGAGCTTGTCATCTCAGAAACCCAGGGGGGAGGACGGGCATCAGTGGGCGTGGGGCACTGAGCCGCCTGGGTCCAAACCTCAGTGTAGAGCTTGTGATTACACGGTAGGTCATCTCAATGCCCCTGCAGAGGTTTTAAAAAGGTTGTTTTGCGCAGAAATATCTGAGACTTTCCACTTATTTTTAGCTGGCGAGACAGCGAGAAGTCAGTTCTGGAGTACCTGGCAGTTTGTGACGAGAGTCGAAGAACTTTATCTTTACCTGGAGTGAGTTCCAGTCTTTGTCCATTTAATGTGGTTTATACATTTTTTTTTGCACTGTTCAATCACACTGTGGCTTTAAAACCTTCAGGGCCCTGTTGATTCTGCTGATAAACTGCCACCAACTCTTAAAAAAACGATGGGAAAAAAGCTGTATGAAACGATCAATGCAAAACTGTCAGAGGGAACAAAGGTAAGTCTGTGCAGCACTGTGGTGGTAAAGCTTTAAAGTAGCTGCAGGAGCAATGAAAACAAAGAACAGCTGTAAAGCACGACAGCTTTCGATAGAAGAACATGTCAACAGCTGTCACTGATAGCATTTTGAGAGAGCAGGAAGAACAGGCCCTCTGTTTGTCTTTGATATAAACGCTGGTTAGTAAATTTAGTGATACAATAGAAAGCATTCGATTAAATATTACATTATAAAATAAAAAATGTAAACATCAAAGACAAGTTACTTATTTTCCTGAGCTGAGAAATGTTTGAATCATTCAAGAGAGAAGGGGAGCATCCTGCCAGGGCTGAAACTGTACATTAATATGATATCGATTAATTTGTTGATGGACGTGGTTGTTTGGTTTTAGGTGTTTGAGGGTTATGTGGATGACTGCAGGAACACGGATAATGCCTGGGTGGAAATGACTGTCCTAAACATTCACCTGGATAGAAAAAGCCAGGTGATGGTGGACATCAACAACACGGTAACATCGAGTGTTTTACAGCGTGAAGAATAAATTGGCTGGCCGACTGTTTTACATTTCCTCCTTTCTGCATTTACATGTTATTATCTGTTGCTTTTTAGGTGCTGAGCAGTAACGGTGCTCTTCAGTGGCAGGAGGTGAGCAGCAAAGCCACACTTAGCTCAAACCAAAGAGAGTCGCTGCGGCTGGCTGCTGCTCTGCACAACAGGAAGTTCTGACATTCACGACGCTGCGGCTGTAAATGTGCCTCTACATCTCCCCGTCACTGCTGCCTTTTCTTTAAATATGTCGATTAATTGTGTTGCACTGAAAGCCATAATCTACATTGTGCTGCTGCTGCTGACTATGAAATGAATGTTGAACCTACACTGTTAACTGCTGCTCACTAAAAACAATCAAATATTAACATTCAGAGAAGAGTGGCTACTCCTCCACACTGAAAGGAGCCAGCTGAGGTGGTCTGGGTGGTCTAGGTGAGGTGTTTCAGGCATGTCTTACTGGGAGGAGGCCCCGGACAGCTGGATCAGCTGGGCCTCTCTGCTAAGACCCCCTGCAACCTGAACCTGGATAAGAAATTGGAGGAATAATTAAAGGGGACTAGTTATGTTCATTTCCAGCTCTCTATGTTTTTTTAAATTTCAATTCTACTAGAGTAGCTTTGCATGATTCACAGCTCAAAATAATCCTTATTTATCTTTTCCTGACTATGCAGCCCTTTAGACTCTCCCCTTTCTGTGCTCATACCATATTGGGGATATGTACTCAGTGATGACTTACAGAGCCAAGAATATTATAAAAACAAGCACTCAAATTACAGGGATTACTTGAACATATAGTGGCCTCATTATTAGAAACTTCAGTGATGTTTGATATGAGCCATTGTTACAGTATATGTGTGACAGAAAAAGTGGAACAGATCTCTTTTAAGTGAACAGAGTTCACTAATGGCGCACAGGGTGCTTTAACTTACAGTTGTCTATTAGTATGTAGCAGTTATAGAGCTTATTCTTTTATAACACACAAGACAATCATCAGTAATAATAATAATCATGTTACAACTTGGTGAAATTAAATATTAATCTACATTTTTTTAGATTGCCTTAATTCACCTTTATTTAATTTGGATATATTTTACTCGATTAATTTTTTTTTTATTCACTTGTATTGAAGCAGTTTGACTTTGTGGCACTGCTGCTTGCTTTCTCGCTGATATCACTATCTATCTCCGTTTCCCTGAGTTTGTTTGCGTGTTGCACTCTCTCCCGTCCTGTTTAAAAACAGAGAAGCTTGTGAAACACTTTTCTGCCCTGAGCTCAGCTTTTGTCCACCTGCCAAGCATGCAGCGCTGCGCTAGTTTCGGAGCAGCCTCCGCGGGCTCTCATTGGTGCAGCCAGAGGTGGCCAGACTACGCAGTATCGGTTTCACTCCCTCCCCCGGCTGCCCAATCGATCACCTGTCCCGGCACGAAATGATCACAAATCATCCCGATTGTGTCTGTGTGTGCTTGAAAGAGCAGTAACTTCTAAACCGCGTGGATTTGTTGTGACTTTATGACCTGAAAGTTGAACTGTGTGCGCCGAGCAGGCGCCAGAGTCCCGGCCTCCCTCCCTCCCTCTCTCTCTCAGTTGTTGTTATTTGTATCTCCACCTCCCGGCAGCGCACGGACGCTATTTTTAGCCACAACGTCAAAGAGAGACAAAAAAACAAAACAAAATGAAGAGTTCCCACTCTGGAGCAAAAAACAACTGTCCTCACAGAGTCACTGTTAGTCTGTACAAAGGTTGTTACAGTTAACTAAAGCTATATATAAAAAACATTTTAGTTCAATAGAACAAGAATAGAAACTAGATTTTTGAGGGGGATTAAAAATAACTGAAATTATTTGTGAATTTGGAAAAATGAAGTAAAATAAAAACCGGAAATAAACTTAGTTTTAATCTTTGGTAACGTTTGTTATCATAATCTGCCTGGTGAGGCTTTGAAGAGCATGTTTGTTACAAGACTTTAAGTCAGCTGCTTTCAGAAAGCTCTGCTTCCTTATTGTAACACCTACAGCGATTTCACTAAGTCTAGCCTCGGGCGTACGCCCTCGAATACAATAACCCTTCAAAAGAATAGAACCTAATGCTGAAACTAATAAGACTAAACCAAAACAAGCAAACTGAAACTAAACTGAACTACAAACAAAAGTCACAATGAAATAACAATAAAAACTAAACGTAGAATAACTTGGGTGTGTATGTTGACAGGCCCCAAGTTATTTTAAACCAATAAAATGACATGTTATGCTCATCATATTTTATACATCTTTTTCTATTGCTTTGTGTTTATCATACCAACACTGTTTATATTTTTCAATCATTTTTATGGCAAAATGAAATTAAGGCTTTTCTCTGACTCCTCTAGTGCACATTGAAGGGTCCCCTCATACCTTCTGGGCCCTTGAGCTGCCCTGTGGAAAGTTACGCCTTTGCACAGGTGTAAATATTTACCATGCTGTGTGAAATATACTCAATTATTGAGCCTTAAGAGAGAAAAAGAAGCACTGAAGCGATAGCCTTAAAATTAAAGAACACATGAGCCATTCCTTCAGGAAATTACTGCCAGTTTTTAAATTGAAATCTGATTTACAGCAGATGTTATTGGTTTACTTTGTGTAATGAAGTGGGGGCAATCAAGAAAGTCTTAGGGAGTAAAAACTGTTTATAGTATGTCATAGAAAATTAAGTTAGTCTCAAAGGGTGATGTAGTTTGTATGTCAAACATCTTTTATGCTCACATCTTTAATTTGAGCAAATTCAACTTTGGAAAAGCATTCAAAGCTCCAGATCAACTGTGTGTAAATTATATGATTTAATTCATCTCAATCTGTACAAATTATGAACAACATCAATACTGCATGGTGCATACTGTTGAATAAAACTGAATTGATTACCCGACTCCATGTTAATTCAGCAGAAAATAAAAATTAGATTTTATGAACAGATCATGTCTGACACGTGAAAATGTTGACCTGAAATGTAAAGTGGTCAAATAGATGTAAGAAGGCACAATATTTTCTTTTAAATAAACAGTTCAGTTCAACCGTGTTCAGGTTCCCAGACAGGTAATGAATGAAAGTAAGTGAAAGTGTGATGGCACAGAAGTATAAAATACCAGAAATGGAAACACTTGGAGTGCAAATACCTCAATCAGGCAACGTTGATACACAACACTTAAAAACAAAAGTACTTTAAGTGTGTTAGCTAGTGCATAGTGTTGTTCTTGTTAGCCTTAAGACAATGAAGACCTACATAGTGTCGTTCTTTAATTAATAATAATTAAACAATTAATTATCATTTATTTATGGCATCTACAGTATATCTGCTAGAATTCTCTTTTGCACAATCTCAGTCTTGCTGTTTTTCTTTAACTTTTGTATAAGTGTGTATATGTACATACTGTATATAAAATATTTCACCACCTCACATAATAATACCATAAATATGAGCCTGTGATACCTTTAACCATTTTGTGTTCATTGTAGATTACACTCATTTTATTATTATTCTTTATGAAGGTCCTGTAGCACAGTTATATCTCTTGCAGAATCATTAAAGTGTCTATCAAGAATAAAAAGCAACTAAATTAAACAAACAGAACGATAAGCATAGAAAAATAAATACATAAATAAAGCCAGTACTATACCTTGATCAAAATATTCTGATCAGGGTAGACCTTGATAAGAATATGCACGTTACATAAATTTGTATTTTTGTATGTGAAAATTAAAATTGTATTATTTTGTGTGCCAAACTGCAAATGTACAGCACAGAATTAAAGCATTATGACAGTTCAGTTATCAAGATAATCACAGATGGATCAATAATCTATCTAGAAAGAAACTTAGAAAGAAATTCACATGTAACATGAATCAGCTTGTGGTCTTCCGCTATGATGTAATTAAAAAGCAGAACTTTTAAAAATGTATTCATATATTTTACCTTCAGTGCTATTAGAAACTCACGTTCCTGTGCTGTCACGCACTACATAGACGATCTTTGACCACGTGAACAGCTTTACAGGTGCACGGGTTATAGAGGCTCCGGAAGTGACGTGTGACGCTCACAAGACTAGACCGTACCATTCTGTGTGGACAGTAAATAGATGGACCCGGAGACGACAGGCGGACCTGTGTGAGGGACGGAGAAGCGCCGAAGGGTAAGAAACCGGGTTGTGTGTGGGACATATACCGAGAGGAGGTTAATGTGTGAAGAGGGTGAAGAGAGACGCTCCGGTCTGTTGGTTTGTTGGTGGGGTGATGAGGCTGTAATGTGCCGACCGGGGCAGCTGTCACTGAACTGCTGTCTAACGCGACGACTGGTCCTGAAAGTGTTTATGAATGAAATCAAAGCCTCAAATCGGCTCCCGGTCCTCAGCAGCTTTACCACCTTCACCTGTGGCTTCCTCACAGACGTGGTTTTAAGCGACGGGAGTCACACGGCAGGTATAGGTGAGGTTAGTGCTCTTATTCGCCGTCATTATGTAACCAAGTGCACAATCTCGTTAAATAGCGAGCTACAGAGAGCCTGTGTTTGACCCAGGAGAGGGAGGAAATTACAGGCTGCTGAGGAGAGGAGGTGAAATTATAGAGGCTGGTGAAGAAATGTTTGTTATTGAGTTCTCAGACTGAAGTTTTGTTTAGTTTAGTTTAGTTTTTTTTTTGACTACGTGGCTAAAGAGAGAAACAGATACAGGATGGGACAGGTTGGTGCTTATTTACTTTGAATATCATTTATTTTAAATTGTCATCTGTACACCACTAATTCCTCCCAGCCCTAATAATTATTTTTTACATATTCAATGAAAGTTAAATGAGCTTGTGGTTTGTTAATAATGTGATGGGAAATATGTGTAGCTGGTTTTGTTGGTCCTCACTAGAGTTAAGACTTCTGAGCATAGGGAGAATTGCAAGTCATGCTAATAAAAAAAGGGGATAAATGTCTTACAGCGGTTGATAGTAGCTGGTTAGGTAGGCCTTAATGCTTTGTGGCATAGATTCAAAAAGCTGCTGGAAACATTCCTCTCAGATACTGGTCATATTGCTACTGCAGATTAATGGGCTTCAGAGGTGCTCTATTATATTGACACTGAGATATATTTGAGTACAGTGAACTGGTTTGTGACACGGTGTGTTATTTTGGTGGAAGCAGCCATCAGAAGATGAGTGCACTGTGGTCATAAAGGGACGGACATAGTCAGCCACAATAAAAAGGTACGAACTGTGGTGAGTGTGGTAAATCCCACACACCCTTATACCACCACCGGCCTGAACCACTGATACGAGATGCTCGCTGAGTGGCAACTGGTGTGGTCTTCTGGTGCTGTAGCCCAGCTACTTAAAGGTGTTGTGCATTCAGAGATGCTCTTCTACATACTTTGGTTGTAACAAGTGGCTGTTTTAGTTACTGTTACCTTCCTCTCACCTCAGAGCTACCGGTTTATTCTCCTCTGATATCAGTGAGACATTTTCACCCAGAGATCTGCTGCTCACTTTGCAACCCTAGAGATGGTGTTGTGGGAAAATCCCAGGAAATCAGCAGCTTCTGAAATACAACAACAACAACACCAACAACCTATGTCGTGTTAAGAGTCACTAAAATCATCTTTCTTCCCCATTCTTATGCTCACTTTGAACTTCAGCAGAAATCAATGAAAGGTGAATGGCTGAAGTGACTCTGAACTGCTGTATAACGTGATTGTAGTTCATCAGTGATCTTTGTGTTGGTGCATGTCAGCCAGTTGGCAAGATGAAGGTTAATTAAATGCTGGATTTATTTATTTACTTTTAAAACTTTATCCATCCCTAAAGTAGAGCCTAAAGACAACCTTAGATCTCAATCAACTCACTTTAGTTTCTCCATAAAATTGGTTTAAGTGCAAAAAATGTTAACCAAAGTGCCTCACAGGCGTGCCCCTTAGCAGCTGTGGACACTGTTTGGATGTGTATTTGTCAGTAATTAATCGCCTCCCTCGTCAGCGCCCGTGTTGCCTAAAACTGAATCGGGACCAATCTGTGCCTAATAAACTGGCAGCGTGTGACTGAGTTTTAGATGGTGTGGATCTCTTACCCTGCACGCTCGCTCCATGAGCAGCGCAGCGGGAGCCATCTGACACAAATCAGCCGCCATCATTCATGTGTCTTTCATGATGTCACAACAGCGTTTGGGTTCTTCATTTGTGCCAACACGCTTTGACAGTCAGTCGGCGGCACAAGGCGTCGCACATTTGAGCCACGGCTGCTGTGGGCTGTCAGCAGCAGCAGCAGCAGCATTGTGTTCCACCCTCATTGTGCTGAGAGGGATGTTTCCAGTAAGTGCCCACATGTGTCACTAATGGCTTTGCCTCCCTTGTTACTGCTGCCTGTCTGTGGTGCAGTTACAGGTCACACTCGACACTAATCAGCCAAATGTGGTCCCCCCCCCAGGTGACTCCGAGCTGGAGACTGCACCTCTCAGGTGGTGTTACAGTGTCACATCTATACATGTGGGGCCAATCTACCATTTGAAGCTATTGTAGTATATTTTTTATGACATTGAAACTGCCACTAACATGCACCGGGTTGTTTTTCATTTCAACAAAGTGCACTCGCATAGGTGTGACGTGTAATTTCCTGAAAGACTTCCTGGAATTTTCACCTGTCTTGCAAGCTGTTGGTGGAACTGTTGTTTAAAGGGCTGTATGCAGAACAGATTAGCTGACTGATTAGTGAACTGACAGAAAATTAATATGCAGAAATTTTGCCTTCTGGCTTTATTCCTGTCTAATATGAAAAATAGAATCATCAATCAACTTTTTATGAAAAGAAGTGAGATTCTAACACACAGCTTTTTTTTATTGTTTGTAAAAAAACAAAACCAAAACAAACCCAAAACAAACAAAAACAAAACACATTAGGGAGCTATGTGATGTGCTACGTACAGCTAGTCCACCAACTGTTTATAAATCCACACCTGAAAGTTGTCCCAGGACATTTTTTTTTTTTGTAATTGGGATGTTTTTCCACAGCAAAAACACTGAATTCCTCCTTTATTATCTCTGAGATCAGGAATTGGCAGCTATTTTTTTCCCAAGGGGCCACATGAGAAACTGGGACTGTTGTGGGTGTTAGCAGCTCATTGGTGTGAACCTCCACATCAGTCCCAGTTTCTCATGTGGCACCTTGGGAAAAATTAACTGCCCGCCCCTGCTTTACATGGCTCGACCTTTAAATCCTGTCTTCTTAAAGACATCGGTCTCCACGGTTACAGTGTTGCATTACAGCAGGGCGTTTGTTTCTAGAGTACCTGCGCATCTGAGCTATTGAGTCCCGAGTGGAGTGGAGTGGAGCGTCAGCAGAGCATAATAAGGTCCCGATGCTGGCGCAGAGACAGGAAGCTGCATTTATGTAATTGACATGTGTAGCAGCAGCAGCAGCAGCGACGCAGCCTTGCAGCTGGTCTGAGCTCACTAATCCCAGCCCTGGAGACTCGCTTTGCTTGTTTGGGTCACATTTATATAGCAGCAGCTTCGGTGTCTTATCGGGCTTAATAAATAAGCTCATTGTTGTGTTTCGTAAGATGTAGCATTTAAAGTATTTTTTAAAAATTTGTTGTCAGCAGTGTGCTACCCCCAGTTATGAACGGTTATATACGTCTGGTGCAATTCCCAACATTGGAGAGGGTTAAATGTCTAAAGAAACTCGTCTGTCTTCATAAAAACTACATATTTAATCATTTTTGAGTTGTATGTAAGGCTGTGCACCAAAGAAGGAGAAAAGGATTTATATTGATTGGCCAGGCCGAGATATCAAGCTGGAAAGGATGTGCAGCAGATCAGGGTGATTAAGGATGGAGATGGTAATGGACTAACGAGTGAGGAGAGTGTGCTGAGAAGATAGAAGGATGACTTTAAGGAGCTGATAAGTGAATAAAATGAGAGCAAAAGAAGGGTGGGTGGAGGGACCTTGGTGGAAGTGCAGAGGATTAGTAAGGAGGAAGTCAATGTGCCTGTGAAGAGGATGAAAAGTGGTTGGTCCACATTACATACCTATCACCTGAGATGTCTGGGAGACAAGGCAGTAAAACTTTTGACCATGTTGATCCTGGAGAGTGAGAGGATGCTTGAGGAATGGAGAAGTGTAATGGTAACAATTTTCAAGAACAAGGTGATGTGCAGGGCTGTAGTAATGACAGAGGGATAAAGCTGATGAGCCCCATGTGGTTACAAATTGTGTCATGGGGGGGAGAC